AAATTCCAAAGGGTCTACCTAAAGAACATCTCAACATTATCAGGCTTACAATTAGGTTGGACTTTCAGATTTGGCGGGTATGAATGGTTATATATAAGAATACGTTACACTACCATTTCACAGTAATAATGCAAATCCATAGAGATATGAGTTTATCAGTTGATGATACCTTCAATTCCTGAAGACCCGGTTAAAATGTTCTTCCTCTTCAGCTCATTTGTCAAGAGGCGACTAACGGACTGATGGTCCGACTCCGCTGACTTGGTTGACATACAATGTAGCCCACATGTCACTCAAAGTGGGCACAACGTGTGTACTTGATCCAGCCCCTACTAAATTTGCTCGGAATATAGCTGATAGCTGATTATCCTTTACTCTGTGTTCACTCAGATTGTCAACTTAAACTTGAAATGCAACTGTTCTGTGGGTTGTTTTCAAGCATGCAATTAGAAACCTTTGTGGTTGAAAACACCTGGTTTAGACTTCCAAGTTCTACAACTATAGGTCAGATGTCTAATCTACTCATTCCTCTCCAAGGTACTTAAAAGAGCTTGCATGCAACTTGGTCAGCACTTGAGTAAACATGACTCTATCACAAATCTAGTCTGCCTATAGGTTGTCTCCTCAGCACGGAATTAAAACAGCCTGCTCCAAAGGTTAATGGCAGTTGAGTTGTGGGGAGCTCCATTGCTCTTGTTCTCGGACTTAATGGTCAGAGTTTGATACGGTGAATCACCAGATACACTCTATCAAGACTTCAGTTCCAGTACACGGATTAAATGATATGACTCTTCTATGGTTTAGTCCGCCTCATCACAGGACTGCCAATCTATTGCTGTTCATAATGCTTCAGTCCAAGGAAGCTATGCTTCTTTGTAGTACCAAGGGATCGGTTCTGATTATCCTGTATTGTTCTCTTTGTATACCCAAAGAAATTATGACCCGTTTTGCTAGATGAAATACTAGGGCTGTGGACAGTCATCTGATCTTCAACCAGAATTGAAGATGCCACCAACGATATTGTTATGGATGTCTGGTCTACAAACTAAAAACTAATGAACACAAGACAGAAAAGCCAGATAAGCCAAGCACAAGTAACATGCTGCAGCAGTAAAATCAAACATGATCAGTTGAGCATGGGCATTCAGCCTCTCCACATGTCAGGAAATCCTTGGTATGTCCTACTCCAATCTGACCTCTCCATGGAGAACAGATTCTCGATGTATGCAGAAATTGTTACTTCATTACAGTGCATATATTTCTTCATATTTCTTTATATTCTTCACAAATTATTCATAACAAAGAAAATCCATAATGTAAGTCATGCATAGTGTGTCTTGTTTATAGCCCCGCATGTCAAGCGCGCAGTAGTAGGCAATTTAGGAACGATCCACGCCAACCTTAAACTAAGACTAATCAAAGATGAAGCATGAGCTGTGGCCAGCCTCGGCCTTTCTTCTCGGGTACACCTCCTAATAAGTGCATAAGTACTCCCATCCCGGCAGAGATGTCTACCACCAACCAAGTCGTAATCGAAAAATCATAACTTTTGTTTGTACAAGATCAGAGATTACCATCACATCCCTTTGTCCTGTCGTAGAATGCCATGGCCGCACTGCCGATAGATATTTTGTTAAGAAGGACGCAAGCTGACCGTGGCTACACCTATAAAGAAAATCAAACCTTGTTAGGTAATCTCATCTTTCACACTCTAATTCTTCGTAGTAGTATACTTTGTCAGCAGTAGGGTAGATAACGCATATGGAAACTTCAACTTTATAGAAACTTGATAATTACAAAACGAGTAGAGCTGTGGGTATAAAATTCGTAGTCTTCCATCCCAGGCACACTTGTTTGAATAAACCTAGAACTCAGCTCTGTTCCTTCTTGTTTCAAGGTAAAAACTTCTAAACTTTAAGCCCGTTTATGTTTAACTGCTATTTCTTTGTAATAATATCATCTTGAAAATGTTGTTAGAGTTAGGTTAGAAACATCTCAAACATCAGAAGCATCGCTTGCTGTGTTCTGGGGTTCTAGATAACCAATTAATTCGTATAGGTACACTCATCCATAGGGATATATTTATTTTACGTACATTGTTGCGTGGTAATTCTGTTATGCATAGATGATGATAGCCACGTTGTATGTCACTGACCTGTGCACATGTATACACTACGTAAGACCGACGGGAGATGCTATAGGACATTTCAATGATGGCATTGAGAATTAAGGGTCCTGCCCTGATGGAACAGTGATGGTATTACAACTGAATGATTGCTGAATACATTAAACAGACAAAGGGGAGGAATTCTATGCACTTTTTGATATATGAAACAATTATGTTGTTGAATATATGACGTTTTACAGAAACCCGTTGAAATGGCTTTCACTCTATGACACTTCCATCTCCGCACACGTGACAGATCAGACATCTCTGTCACAGGATGCTGCGGCTGCCCTGGTGACAACATCACTGATTCTCTCCTTACTTCACTCTGACTATTGGCAACAGCATTTCCTTAGTTCCAGCTCACAAGAGTCCGTCCAAAAGCTTCAACGAATCCAGAACACAGCTGCACGCACAGTTACTCTCCAACCAACACGCCGCATCACCCCATTCCATTCTCTACTCACGTCTATTGAGCCTCAGACAACGTAAGATCCTTACACTTGTTTATCAGTCCAGTCATGGTATTGCACCTGCATCTTCAAGAACTCCTCTCTCCTTGCATGCCAACAAGCACTCTGCGTTCTTCCTCATCTGTCTAATCTGCTCCTGTGTTCCAAAGTGAACCTCAAATCATTTGGCTGCAAGTCCACCAGAACATGGCATCTATCAGGCTGGGAATTCTCTCCCTGATGACCTTTAAGCTGTCTCCCACCCCTTGAAACTTTAAGCGCCACTTCCAAATCTTCCTCCACAAAAGTTCTATTGACTTCAATAATGCCTTATTGATTGTTAGCGCTATGAGCATACCTGTGTGGAGTTTCATTTCGTATAAATGGACACATTATTATTTATTAGCCCGCCGAGTAGATCGATGATCAAGTGATGTTAATCACCGGGTTGTTTGGTTTAGACTCGATTGCCATTTACATCTGTAGCCACTGCTATTGGCGGCGGAGTTAAAAAACAATGAAAGATGCGCCGTCACCGTATCCCAAACGCCGAGTAGCATTCATGCGCTGGCGATGTTGATCACTACTGGTTCGTCCACCGATGATGACAGGACAGCCATATTGCTGGGATGTTGCGAGTATGGAGTTAATAAAAAGAAAGAAAGACCATAATACCGTTCATTTTAATGTTAATATTTTCGCTCATGTGTTAAAAATGAATGATGTATTCGACCTTCACTCTGATGTGCTGAGGTATTACCAGTATACTTCTAAAGTGGGTGTACCTGAAGAATTTTCTCAAATACATTACTGCCGTTTCATTGGCGGTAATCATGTAGCGAATGGTTATATAAAAAGAATACCGTTACACTACCGTAATTCGCTTGCATTGACGTCCACCGTAATCAATCCATATGGTGTTAAATCTACCCATTTTGGGTCCAAAGTGGATCGCACGAGAAGGTGAGGTGAAACCAGCAGTGGTTGGACGTCGACTTAGTGCACTGGAAATGTATTATTGTCCGTAGGCAATGGAGACTTTCGCGTAACATGTGAATGCATAACCCATTTGGTTGTGGACATCAATGCGGTAAAATATTCATAGACATCACAAACCCATTGGAACAAGTATCAGAAACTTCAAAGAGAGGTCATAACATGTCCATGAGTCTTCCAACTATGCTATATTAAATGCGGTCTTTGAACTACTGCAATATGAGACCTTCAACGGCATGTATGAACTGAACCAGGGATAATAGCCCCACCAATAATATTGTGTGAAGATTCAGTTATTTGTCATTACGCAAAGTGCCGATCCAGTTACAGTTAGAATAGGCGGCCTTTATTAGTTTAAGACCTGTGATATTGACAAAGTGCTGAACTTCCTGGATCTATCAGACCATACGTAGCCAAGTGTTGAATCGGACTTCTTGTACATTCTGTGGAAATTTTGAATCAGTCATTTCGTGAGACCTTCTGATAATGTTGTAAAGTACTGGATTAGTAAACTGCAGATCCGAAATGTAATTGGCAACTATTTTAAGAAAGGGATATTCACAAAAGGTCCCATCGATTGATATTTTATATATTCACGAGATAAATATTCAACAATGCGACCAGGACGTCAGAGTGAGATTTGCATTAGTCGATGAACGCTTCGACGACCAGATTGTGTTAGATGAATTGATAAACGCGACCGCTGTCCTTCACGCAAATGGTATGACGTACGGTACCACCCGTGACACGTGTGTGAATGAGATGCGGATTGTAATTTGTCTTGCGGAGGGCTGCTTTCCTACAGGTTCAAACGCCTATTCTGACTTCGCCACACTCTGCTGGTGTTTCCGTCGGCGACATCCAAACCGAACCTTGATTCATACTATTCGGTACAGCGATGACGAAAGCGATAAACACGAGACGAAAGTGGCATTTGTTTAGTATTGATTAAGAAAACATTGCGAGAGCGCATCGCCCATTAATATGAAAACAACATAGTGTAATATGGCCATTTTGATCTGTTCGTATGGCCATTTCGCTGGGGTTGTGGCCATTTTGACTTTTTGTAATACTTTGACCTGTTCCCTTGTATCGCTTCCAGGCACATCTTTCTAGGCTACTATGGAATGTCGTGATGTATTTTATCGTACATTACCGGTAAAACAAAAGTTATGATTTATTAAACTACAATCTTTATTATAATTCCAGGGCGGATCCATTTATGTTACAGGCTCTACATACATTACGTATTCAGCGTAATGTGATATTAACCCGGATACGCGTTTTTGGAATAAAACACAACTTGTACAGATTAAAATACAACACCGTCCGTAATTCTATTAACTTTTACAGTACCGGCAGCCGGGACCAAAGTATCCCCTCTCCTACATCCCATAGAAGAGCAGCTTCTCCTGTTGTGGACTCGCATTGCCTTCTGGTCGCAATAAGTGGCACTGGAACCTGCAGGCTATCCGAACCAATAGTTTCCAGTCTTGTCCCTGACACACGGGTTATTCCGTACGTCATCAGAAGAACATTTATATAGCAACCCGTCTGTCCTGCCAGCCCTATGTAGGAAGACACACTTGTGCAGTAAATACGCACACGAATACGCACGCACGCACGGTACCATGTTACTACCAGCACACACACACACACATTAACACACACACACACACACACTAATCCCCTATATATACAGCCTATCGGAACAGCACCACAAATCTCCCTTTGGTTAGCTGCAAGTAGCCGGATGCTGGTTAAGTGGCTGGTAGACTGAGCAAGCAAAGTGTCGACTTTAAAAGCCTATGATTAGTGCCTGATTCTGAGGGTGTGGGTTCGAATACCGGATGGACTCCAACCCAACAAAGTACTCAGAATTTGCACCTTTACCAAGAAAGTAACTCAAATATAATGTAAATGTACATTTGACCACTTTCTAAAATGGTAATTTGTGTAATCACAGCCAATTAACCTTCCGGCAATATGCTTCATGTTGTAATGGTCCGTTTGAGACAAATGATGCCTGATGAAAAACAAAACAAAATTCGCAAACAAAACAAATAGACATAAAAGAATCAAACCAAAGTCTATAATTCTCCTACAAAGTCTATGATTTCTTCTGGCGATTAAAATGACAGCGGAGACCTAAGTACGGATACATGTCATCGTATCACAACCGAGTAGATCGATGTACATGATGTTGATCACTAGATTGTCTGGTCCAGACTCGATTATTTACAGACAGCCGCCATATTGCTGGGATGTTGGTGAGTATGGAGTTAATAAAAAGAAAGAAAGACCATAATACCGTTCATTTTTACTGTTAATATTTTCGGTTTGCCGTGTTAAAAATGAATGATGTGTTCAATATGGACCTTCACTCTGATGCTGAGGTATTACCAGTATACTTCTAAAGTGGGTGTACCTGAAGAATTTCTCAATATTATCAGCGTTTCATTATGTTGGACTTTCGATTTGCGGTATGAATGGTTATATATAAGAATACGTTACACTACCGTAATTCGCTGGCACATTGACGTCCACCCAGACTATCCAGGCAGGGTGTTGTAACTCCACGCTCCATGTTGGGTCCAGGGTGGATCGTGTGTACGAGTAGGTGGAGGTGAAACCGTCTACAGCAGAGGATGACCTCGACGAAGTACTGGATTGTGTTGTTGGTTGTTCGTAGGCAATGGAGACTGTAACATTTGAATCAAGGTTAACCATTTGGTTGTGGACATTAATGCATAAATATTCATAGGGACATCACAAACCCATTGGAACAAGTATCAGAAACTTCTAAAGAGAGGTCACAACATGTCCAGCCCCGAACAATGCTATTGTGTCTTGAACTACTGCAATATGAGACCTTCACGGCATGGCGAACTGAACCAGGGATACATTTGGCCACACTAACAATATCATGTGTCGATTCAGTTATTTGCTGACATGGCAAAGTGCCGATCCAGTTACAGTTGTATTTGTAAGGCCTTCTTAATTACATGACAAAGTTATTTCAAAGACATTCTGGACATGACAAAGTGCTGAACTTCCTGATCTGTCAGACTATACATAGCCAACTGTTGAATCGGACTTTTGTACATTTTGTGGAAATTTTGAATCAGTCATTTGTGAGACCTTCTGAACACGTTAAAGTACTGGATTAGTAAACTGCAGATCCGAATGTATCATAACTATTTAAGCAGGGGATATTCAATAAAAAGGTGTCCCATCGATTGATATTTTATATATTCAATGAGATAAATAGTTTAACAATGTGACGGAGACGTCAGAGTGAGATTTGCATTAGTCGATGAACGTCAGACGACCACAGATTGTGTTAAATGAATTGCTAAAACGCACTACTGTCCTTCACGTGCAAATGGTATGGACGTAACGGTAGTAATACCCGTGACACGTGTGTGAATGACATGTGACGGGGTTCTGTCTGTAGGAGGGCTGCCGCTCCCATATTTCAGTCTAAAAAACGTTCATTCTGACTTCGCCTACATTGCGAGCGACTCATTAATGTTAGTATCGCCTCTTACATTGCGAGAGTACTCATTAATGTTAGTATCGCCTCTTACATTTCGAGAGTACTCATTAATGTTAGTATCGCCTCTTACATTGCGAGAGTACTCATTAATGTTAGTATCGCCTCTTACATTGCGAGAGTACTCATTAATGTTAGTATCCCCTCTTACATTGCGAGAGTACTCATTAATGTTAGTATCGCCTCTTACATTGCGAGAGTACTCATTAATGTTAGTATCGCCTCTTACATTGCGAGAGTACTCATTAATGTTAGTATCGCCTCTTACATTGCGAGAGTACTCATTAATGTTAGTATCGCCTCTTACATTGCGAGAGTACTCATTAATGTTAGTATCGCCTCTTACATTGCTTACATTGCGAGTACTCATTAATGTTTAGTATCAGTATCGCCTCTTACATTGCGAGAGTACTCATTAATGTTAGTATCGCCTCTTACATTGCAAGAGTAGAGTACTCATTAATGTTAGTATCGCCTCTTACATTGCGAGAGTACTCATTAATGTTAGTATCGCCTCTTACATTGCGAGAGTACTCATTAATGTTAGTATCGCCTCTTACATTGCGAGAGTACTCATTAATGTTAGTATCCCTCTTACATTGCGAGAGTACTCATTAATGTTAGTATCGCCTCTTACATAGTGCATTAGTTAGTATCCTCTTAATGTTAGAGATCGCTCATTAATGTTAGTATCGCCTCTTACATTGCGAGTACTCATTAATGTTAGTATCGCCTCTTACATTGCGAGAGTACTCATTAATGTTAGTATCGCCTCTTACATTGCGAGAGTACTCATTATTAATGTTAGTATCGCCTCTTACATTGCGAGTACTCAGTTAGTATCGCCTCTTCATTAATGTTAATGTATATCGCCTCTTACATTGCGAGTACTCTCATTAATGTTAGTATCGCCTCTTACATTGCGAGAGTACTCATTAATGTTAGTATCGCCTCTTACATTGCGAGAGTACTCATTAATGTTAGTATCCCTCTTACATTGCGAGAGTACTCATTAATGTTAGTATCGCCTCTTACATTGCGAGTACTCATTAATGTTAGTATCGCCTCTTACATTGCGAGAGTACTCATTAATGTTAGTATCCCCTCTTACATTGCGAGAGTACTCATTAATGTTAGTATCCCCTCTTACATTGCGAGAGTACTCATTAATGTTAGTATCGCCTCTTACATTGCGAGAGTACTCATTAATGTTAGTATCCCCTCTTACATTGCGAGAGTACTCATTAATGTTAGTATCGCCTCTTACATTGCGAGAGTACTCATTAATGTTAGTATCGCCTCTTACATTGCGAGAGTACTCATTAATGTTAGTATCGCCTTACATTGCATTGCGAGTGCTCATTAATGTTAGTATCGCCTCTTACATTGCGAGAGTACTCATTAATGTTAGTATCGCCTCTTACATTGCGAGTACTCATTATTAATGTTAGTATCGCCTCTTACATTGCGAGAGTACTCATTAATGTTAGTATCCCTCTTACATTGCGAGAGTACTCATTAATGTTAGTATCGCCTCTTACATTGCGAGTACTCATTAATGTTAGTATCGCCTCTTACATTGCGAGAGTACTCATTAATGTTAGTATCCCTCTTACATTGCGAGTACTCATTAATGTTAGTATCCCTCTTACATTGCGAGAGTACTCATTAATGTTAGTATCGCCTCTTACATTGCGAGTACTCATTAATGTTAGTATCGCCTCTTACATTGCGAGAGTACTCATTAATGTTAGTATCCTCTTACATTGCGAGAGTACTCATTAATGTTAGTATCCTCTTACATTTGCGAGAGTACTCATTAATGTTAGTATCGCCTCTTACATTGCGAGAGTACTCATTAATGTTTAGTATCGCCTCTTACATTGCGAGAGTACTCATTAATGTTAGTATCGCCTCTTACATTGCGAGTAGTACTCATTAATGTTAGTATCCCTCTTACATTGCGAGAGTACTCATTAATGTTAGTATCGCCTCTTACATTGCGAGAGTACTCATTAATGTTAGTATCGCCTCTTACATTGCGAGTACTCATTAATGTTAGTATCGCCTCTTACATTGCGAGAGTACTCATTAATGTTAGTATCGCCTCTTACATTGCGAGAGTACTCATTAATGTTAGTATCCCTCTTACATTGCGAGAGTACTCATTAATGTTAGTATCGCCTCTTACATTGCGAGAGTACTCATTAATGTTAGTATCCCTCTTACATTGCGAGAGTACTCATTAATGTTAGTATCCCTCTTACATTGCGAGAGTACTCATTAATGTTAGTATCGCCTCTTACATTGCGAGAGTACTCATTAATGTTAGTATCGCCTCTTACATTGCGAGTACTCAGTACTCATTAATGTTAGTATCGCCTCTTACATTGCGAGAGTACTCATTAATGTTAGTATCGCCTCTTACATTGCGAGAGTACTCATTAATGTTAGTATCGCCTCTTACATTGCGAGAGTACTCATTAATGTTAGTATCCCTCTTACATTGCGAGAGTACTCATTAATGTTAGTATCGCCTCTTACATTGCGAGTACTCATTAATGTTAGTATCGCCTCTTACATTGCGAGAGTACTCATTAATGTTAGTATCTTACATTGCGAGAGAGTATTAATGTTAGTATCGCCTCTTACATTGCGAGAGTACTCATTAATGTTAGTATCGCCTCTTACATTGCGAGAGTACTCATTAATGTTAGTATCCCCTCTTACATTGCGAGAGTACTCATTAATGTTAGTATCGCCTCTTACATTGCGAGAGTACTCATTAATGTTAGTATCGCCTCTTACATTGCGAGAGTACTCATTAATGTTAGTATCGCCTCTTACATTGCGAGAGTACTCATTAATGTTAGTATCCCCTCTTACATTGCGAGAGTACTCATTAATGTTAGTATCCCCTCTTACATTGCGAGAGTACTCATTAATGTTAGTATCGCCTCTTACATTGCGAGAGTACTCATTAATGTTAGTATCGCCTCTTACATTGCGAGAGTACTCATTAATGTTAGTATCGCCTCTTACATTGCGAGAGTCTTACTCATTAATGTTAGTATCGCCTCTTACGAGAGTACTCATTAGTTAGTATCTCATTAATGTTAGTATCGCCTCTTACATTGCGAGTACTCATTAATGTTAGTATCGCCTCTTACATTGCGAGAGTACTCATTAATGTTAGTATCTCTTATTGCACATTGAGTACCTCACATTAATGTTAGTATCGCCTCTTACATTGCGAGAGTACTCATTAATGTTAGTATCCCTCTTACATTGCGAGAGTACTCATTAATGTTAGTATCCCCTCATTGCGAGAGTACATTAATGTTAGTATCGCCTCTTACATTGCGAGTACTCATTAATGTTAGTATCGCCTCTTACATTGCGAGAGTACTCATTAATGTTAGTATCGCCTCTTACATTGCGAGAGTACTCATTAATGTTAGTATCGCCTCTTACATTGCGAGAGTACTCATTAATGTTAGTATCGCCTCTTACATTGCGAGTACTCATTAATGTTAGTATCGCCTCTTACATTGCGAGAGTACTCATTAATGTTAGTATCCCTCTTACATTGCGAGAGTACTCATTAATGTTAGTATCGCCTCTTACATTGCGAGTACTCATTAATGTTAGTATCCCTCTTACATTGCGAGTGCTCTCATTAATGTTAGTATCGCCTCTTACATTGCGAGAGTACTCATTAATGTTAGTATCGCCTCTTACATTGCGAGAGTACTCATTAATGTTAGTATCGCCTCTTACATTGCGAGAGTACTCATTAATGTTAGTATCGCCTCTTACATTGCGAGAGTACTCATTAATGTTAGTATCGCCTCTTACATTGCGAGAGTACTCATTAATGTTAGTATCGCCTCTTACATTGCGAGAGTACTCATTAATGTTAGTATCCCTCTTACATTGCGAGAGTACTCATTAATGTTAGTATCGCCTCTTACATTGCGAGAGTACTCATTAATGTTAGTATCGCCTCTTACATTGCGAGAGTACTCATTAATGTTAGTATCGCCTCTTACATTGCGAGTACTCATTAATGTTAGTATCGCCTCTTACATTGCGAGAGTACTCATTAATGTTAGTATCGCCTCTTACATTGCGAGTACTCATTAATGTTAGTATCGCCTCTTACATTGCGAGTACTCATTAATGTTAGTATCGCCTCTTACATTGCGAGAGTACTCATTAATGTTAGTATCGCCTCTTACATTGCGAGAGTACTCATTAATGTTAGTATCGCCTCTTACATTGCGAGAGTACTCATTAATGTTAGTATCGCCTCTTACATTGCGAGAGTACTCATTAATGTTAGTATCGCCTCTTACATTGCGAGTACTCATTAATGTTAGTATCGCCTCTTACATTGCGAGAGTACTCATTAATGTTAGTATCGCCTCTTACATTGCGAGAGTACTCATTAATGTTAGTATCCCCTCTTACATTGCGAGAGTACTCATTAATGTTAGTATCGCCTCTTACATTGCGAGAGTACTCATTAATGTTAGTATCGCCTCTTTGCGAGAGTACTCATTAATGTTAGTATCTCTTACATTAATCATTAATGTTAGTATCGCCTCTTACATTGCGAGAGTACTCATTAATGTTAGTATCGCCTCTTACATTGCGAGAGTACTCATTAATGTTAGTATCCCCTCTTACATTGCGAGAGTACTCATTAATGTTAGTATCGCCTCTTACATTGCGAGAGTACTCATTAATGTTAGTATCGCCTCTTACATTGCGAGAGTACTCATTAATGTTAGTATCGCCTCTTACATTGCGAGAGTACTCATTAATGTTAGTATCGCCTCTTACATTGCGAGTACTCATTAATGTTAGTATCGCCTCTTACATTGCGAGAGTACTCATTAATGTTAGTATCCCCTCTTACATTGCGAGAGTACTCATTAATGTTAGTATCGCCTCTTACATTGCGAGAGTACTCATTAATGTTAGTATCGCCTCTTACATTGCGAGAGTACTCATTAATGTTAGTATCGCCTCTTACATTGCGAGAGTACTCATTAATGTTAGTATCGCCTCTTACATTGCGAGTACTCATTAATGTTAGTATCGCCTCTTACATTGCGAGAGTACTCATTAATGTTAGTATCGCCTCTTACATTGCGAGAGTACTCATTAATGTTAGTATCGCCTCTTACATTGCGAGAGTACTCATTAATGTTAGTATCCCTCTTACATTGCGAGAGTACTCATTAATGTTAGTATCGCCTCTTACATTGCGAGAGTACTCATTAATGTTAGTATCCCCTCTTACATTGCGAGAGTACTCATTAATGTTAGTATCGCCTCTTACATTGCGAGAGTACTCATTAATGTTAGTATCCCCTCTTACATTGCGAGAGTACTCATTAATGTTAGTATCGCCTCTTACATTGCGAGTACTCATTAATGTTAGTATCGCCTCTTACATTGCGAGAGTACTCATTAATGTTAGTATCGCCTCTTACATTGCGAGAGTACTCATTAATGTTAGTATCGCCTCTTACATTGCGAGAGTACTCATTAATGTTAGTATCGCCTCTTACATTGCGAGAGTACTCATTAATGTTAGTATCGCCTCTTACATTGCGAGAGTACTCATTAATGTTAGTATCGCCTCTTACATTGCGAGAGTACTCATTAATGTTAGTATCGCCTCTTACATTGCGAGTACTCATTAATGTTAGTATCGCCTCTTACATTGCGAGAGTACTCATTAATGTTAGTATCCCCTCTTACATTGCGAGAGAGTACTCATTAATGTTAGTATCCCTCTTACATTGCGAGTACTCATTAATGTTAGTATCCCTCTTACATTGCGAGAATGTTAGTACTCATTAATGTTAGTATCGCCTCTTACATTGCGAGAGTACTCATTAATGTTAGTATCGCCTCTTACATTGCGAGAGTACTCATTAATGTTAGTATCGCCTCTTACATTGCGAGTACTCATTAATGTTAGTATCGCCTCTTACATTGCGAGAGTACTCATTAATGTTAGTATCCCTCTTACATTGCGAGAGTACTCATTAATGTTAGTATCGCCTCTTACATTGCGAGAGTACTCATTAATGTTAGTATCCCCTCTTACATTGCGAGTTACTCATTAATATTGCGAGAGTACTCATTAATGTTAGTATCGCCTCTTACATTGCGAGAGTACTCATTAATGTTAGTATCCCTCTTACATTGCGAGAGTGCTCATTTTGATGTTAGTATGGCCATCTTACTTTTTCTGAGGCTATTACTCATTAATGTTTTTGTATGGCCATTTTGATTGCGAGTGTGCTCATTTTGTTGTACACCTTATTATAATTCAGGGCGGACCATTTATGTTATTACATGCTTACATACAAAACGTATTCAGTGCGTAATGTGATACTAACCCGGACATGTTTTTGAAATAAACACAACTTGAAATAGACAAAATACAACACCGTTCCACTTATTAACTTACAGTACTGGCAGCCGGGACCAAAGTATCCCGTCTCACATCCCAAGGAAGAGCAGCTTCCTGTTGTGGAGTCACATTGCCTTCTGTCGTAACAGTGGCACTGGAACCTGCAGGAAGGTCCGAACCAATAGTTTCCCAGTCTGTCCCCGACACACGGGTTGTCTGCAATGTCATCAGAAGAACATTTATATAGTAACCATGTCTGTCTCAAGCAGACCTCTATGTAGTGGGAAGAATACACACTTGTGCATGCAAATACGCACACGCATTAATACGTACCCATATATACAGCCCCATTTGAACAAATATCACAAATTCCCTTGGTTGAAGGCAATGGATGCCGTGGGTTAAGCGGCTGGTGACTGAGCGGAGTTAGGCGGCTGACTTTGTGTGCCTGCGATTAGGTGCCTGACTCTGAGGGTGTGGGTTCGAATACCGGATGGGACTCAACCCAACAAAGTACTAGAATTTGTACTTTACTAAGAAAGTGTAATCCCAAAATAACATATGTACATTTGACCACTTTCTAAAATGGCATTGTGTAATCACACAAATAATTAACCTTCCGGCAATGGCCATGTTGTACGGTCCGTTTGAGACAAAATGATACCGATGAAAAACAATCTAAAACAAAAACAAATAGACATAAAAGAATCAAACCAAAGCGGACTGCAGTTTGTGACAAGGGAGCAGTGGCAACTAGAGGAACAGCTCGAAAAGCGAGATGCACCTGCATTAGTGACGTCAGAGACATGTGATTACTGCTGATTGTCAATGTGAGAGAAAATGAAATTTGCTCTCGACGTAAAGTCTATAATTTACAAAGTCTATGATTTCTTCAAGGATGAAAATGACAGCGGGAGACCCAAGTATGCAATTATTCAGTACATACTCAGTTAGGGTGTCATCTCGCCAGCTCAAAAGTTTGTTGCACGTGCATCTCGCTTTTCGCGCTGTTCCTTTAGTTGCCAATCCGCCCTTGTAACCAACTGGGAAAACGCACAAATAAATGATGACAGTTTCTTTCAAAAGTTCTACAATTGTTTCCTAGAGTTGGTCTGTTGTTTTATTGCACTCCGCGTTGGTTTGATTCTTTTATGTTTATTTGTTTTGTCTCAAACGGACTGTAATAGTCACTGAACTGGGAATTTGTCAACCTTCTGAACATGATGCGTGCGAGGACCGAACCAATGAACCTGTCGCTCTCCCGGCAAACAGTCTGCCCTATACACCACAGAGCTTGTGTCATGCGATATATAAACCTGTCAATAGGTAACATAGGTACCTATATTAAAGATAACATAATAGGTAACTATGTTAAAAATAAGTGGAAAAGGTCGAAAATCAACATGAAAACTTAATACATGTACATGTACATGATTGTACAGTCCGTTTGAGTCAGAAATGAACCGATGAATTGCAAATTTTATCATTGTACAAAATTGCTTCAGAAATATAAATAGTACACATGTTTATCATTTATTGTAAACCAAAAGTCACTGTGTTCTTTAATCCGATTGGTTGAAAAACGTGATCAAATGGTATTTGATTCCCGGAAATTCTCTGCGTATTAATACATACAAACATCGCTCACACCATTGTATTGTTACGTCGTCAGCTGTGATGACGTCATTAAAATCATATTGTGACGTAAAGTCCGAATGACGTCACAAATGAGCAGTTCCAGATGCTACCATGGGAGACAGCCGAAACGGCCGGCTGATGACAATTCACTGCTGTACCCGTACTCGATGTCAATGAGTGCAGACACCTTTTGGTTTGCTTTTGTGTTTACAATGTCGATAAAAATCATGTGTTGGCGAATTTGGGTGTTATTGGTATTTGAATATATTTCATTTGAAACCTCCGGCTGACGCCGTCGGTTCCAAATGAATTCCCGTGCTTCAAATACTCAATAACACCGGAAATTCGCCAACACATGATGTTTATCTCCTAACTAATACCCAACAGCTTTCTGATATTAGGAAATTTTCCGGACTCCACCAAAAAGTGTAGAAATTGTATGAAACCGGACATTTAGTATAACAAGCAAAATTTTATGACTAAATGAACCCAAATAGAATACTTGTTCACCATGGAAAACCAACCAAAATCAACCTTGGGAAATGGTCATTTTGGGCCAAAATCCTAAAAAGATGAGAAAATCGTTAAATATTTTTGGAAAAAATTACATTTAGTATAACAAGCACATTTTATGACTAAATGAACCCAAATAGGGTACTTGTTCACCATGGAAAACCCAACCAAAATCAACCTTGGGGAAATGGTCATTTTGGGCCAAAATCCTAAAAAAAGATGAGAAAAATCGTTAAATATTTTGGAAAAGAATTACATTTAGTATAACAAGCACATTTTATGACTAAATTAACCCAAATAGGGTACTTGTTCACCATGGAAAACCAACCAAAATCAACCTTGGGGAAATGGTCATTTTGGGCAAAATCCTAAAAAAGATGAGAAAATCGTTAAATATTTTGGAAAAGAATTACATTTTAGTATAACAAGCACATTTTATGACTAAATTAACCCAAATAGGGTACTTGTTCACCATGGCATACACAACCAAAATCAACCTTGGGAAATTATCATTTAGGGGCAAAATCCTAAAATAAGATGAGAAGGCATCTAGTTGGAGGCATCTTCACTAATGGGACATATTTTGACGAGATGATATTGAGGGTACCGCACTTCATCCAGAGGTCGGTTTTCTCCCTTGATATAAGAAGGACACATATGTCTCTCCAATTGCAGCAATAGTTTCTTTAGGTGTGGCTGTGTTTTCAAACACCTTTACTTCTCCTTGGGAAGTTCCTCCGACTGCTGTATAAGTTTGAAGTGTTTGACTTTGCCCATGCCAAAGAATGCTGATGTCGTATCATCACAACCTGACATAGCATGGATGAATGGAAGACATTGGCACATATTGGGACCTAATGATTGTCGCCCTCTTGTGACAGGAGAATATATGAGTGTTTTTGTCTTCATAAAAATATCCTGATGCATATCAGTACAGTGGTGGAGCAGTAGTACCAGAACATCTGTGTCATCTGAACACACACAAACAGGATGCTCTAGGGCCGTTGTCAGTGCTTGCTTAACAATCACAACATCTGCATCGCCTTCCATCACCAGCATGCTGTACGCTGATATTGAAATCATTCAGGTGTTCTGCCATCAGGGTAGACAAGCGCCTGCTTGTTGTGTCTGTTTGATAGGAAGCCACTTTTATCAGATGGAACTGGGGTTGTGTCTTCGACTTCGACATCAGCAACTGAAGATCTTTGGAGACGACGACGTTTCTGTTCGGGTTCTTTTGTGGTTATAACCTCATAGCTATCAAAACCACATGAACTGGAAGGACTGTTCTTTGCTTTGCTGGAAACTATTTGACAGAATGATGAGCATATATCTTGAAGCAATCCAACCTTTGGCCCACTGCATTTTGTTGCAAAGGGCACATCCATCTATGACAAGTGCTGTATCCCTGCCAGGATCAGAAGGCGATGATATTGGGATGAAGTTTTGAAATATGTGCCTTGCAAGCTGCGACTTCTGGCATTTCCGCATAGTACCATCATCATGAAATAGTACTGGACACTGCAAGCCAGCTCATATATGAAACACTGTTGGTTTTGGAGGTCCTGTCAAACACGCAAGAGATAACAAACGTTGGTACACTTCACAGTGAGGATATATGGATATCATCACTGACCAATTTTCAAGGCTTTTTTCTCATCACAGCAAATGTCACAGTTTGGTCACATTTTTCAAAGGACAAAGCATCTCCGAACTTCTGATGGGACATTTTCTCCAGTTGTTTTGCTCAATCTCCAGTGCTGTGTCTACATTCACAGACTTGTCAGCAAACATTCCGTGGCAATATTTCGAAGCTGGTGAGAATCTTTGGAATGAAAGGGGTTGTGACTTCTCAGATAGTCCTCAAAAGTGTGCATGTCTTTGTAGGAGTCTTGTTTGATGCGGCCTATATTGACCTCCCTGTGTTGCTCTGACCAGGATCCACTTTGAGTGTTGGTCAAGATTCGTAAAAGCTTCAGTGTACTGTGTCACAATGTGGGCGAACAACAGCCATTTTGTGCGAGCTGATTCCTGATGTGTAACATTGATGAGTCCTCCTTGAGTGTTGCCAGCTCTCATCAAACATTGTTCAATCACCATGTCACTCCACGTCCCAGTCAAAACAAGTTCTCATTTGCTTCTTATTGTGAAGTTTCCTTTTTCCATCTGTACCTGCAAACAAGGACACAGCATTTGACAATCCTGCAGATAGAGTCGACAGTACTTGGTGTAGTTGTTGTTGCCCTGCTGCTGCGAAAAAAGGCAACATTTGTGAGGAAGTTTTTGAGATGGAGCTTCCAGTTCCCAGTCCGTTCTGCTCTGATGAAATTGCGCACTTCTGTAACAAATTCCATGAACTGAATCCATAGTTGCCAGTTCTTGACTCTTGAAGCTTGCACTTTTCTTGATCTACAAACTGAATACAGTGTTGAATATCTGGATCATTCTTGACATCTTCATATGTCTTCTCATTTTCAGAGAACACTAACATGCAAATTTTGAAGTTCTTGAAGTCTTATATTGTTGAAGACTCCTCCATATTTCATTTGTTATTCCTTGATTGAAGTCAATTTTGCTTGATGACTCTTCTGGACTGAGAATGATCATGTGAAGGGGCAGCATCTGTCAAAGAACATGCTCTCAGAGCTTTGTGTAAGCCTTCCCGCTTCATCATCTTCGGAATAGACTTGTTGGCATATACAGTAGCCCACACATCTTCAAGACCACTGTCCTGCATACACTTACACCCAGCTCCAAGAAAGGACATCAGGTTGGTGGAATCCACCCAGGCGTAAAGACAGATGTTTTGAATTCTTTAGGATTGTCAACCTTTATTTTTATACGCCTTTGCAAAGAGCTTGGTCAAATGTAATTTGACCACAACACTAACCAGATTTTCTTCTTTGGAGATCTACAAAAGTCATTGTACTATAAACCGCCTCCATTGTCTGTGGATTTAATGGGATGATAAGTTGTACATGACTGAAGAGCAAACAACTGTACCATCTGTGACCTGAGACATAAAACCCTGCCAACTTGGAGATGGGTTGCTCAACAAACTGGGACACTATCCACAGCATGTCCATACTTTGAAAGTGTGTCATAGGAAGATTGATTGGCTGCAGCTCCTCAAACACAACATTAGGCAGTTGACTTCTGACTGGTTGATGGTAGCGTTTATATGAATTGCTACCAAAGGTTCCTGATTTCATAATCTCAGCAGATGTTACTTTCTGTCTGGGGATGGAAGTTGTTTTACTTTCTTTGGGTGTGTTGACAAGTTATTATTCCCATTACATGTGATATCTTGTCCATTTTAATGTATCTTCATTGGCGATCAAAGTTGTCTGCGATCCATTGGCAAAATCCTGAAGCAGGCTCAGTTGATTGGTTGACGTTATCTTGATTGACAGCAGCCGATTTCTCGAGAGTCAATGACTTGATCATAAGAGGCGCTAAACCCAAGGGGAGGAAAGAACATTGAGAAGAACTCTTGACCGTGTAAGGTGGTGGATAAACAGGCTACACAGAGCATCAGTGTTGAGATGTATGACTGTCCACGAAGCCATCTGAAGTAGGAACATGACATAAATGATAAGAAGTCTCTGTTTGGCAAAGAGATGATGGACTCCTTGACTTCGGTAGAATTCTTTCAATGAGACTGAGGAGAAGCGGCGGTACCTGCTCTTCAAGTTTGTCCACATTGATGTCACTGGGTGAAGGATATTCTTGGGTAGAAGATTCATCCTGAACTTGACTCCACTGCTTATTTCATCTCTGAGAATGGATCCAGCTTTTTCTTTATAATCTTCTTATCTTCAGTTTCCTTTTTTGAATGTCAGTTTGAGTGTAAGATCCATGAAGAATGGAAGATGCTGTACTGTTGAAAGTGATAACATTTGGGTTTTCCATCTATCTCAAGAAAATGTTATTTGATCTCCAAATGTATCAATCAGTCTCCTCTTGAGGTGTTTTATGGAATATGGTTCAGTTTCAGGAGGTAGATAGGATGAAAGTTCCTGTGCACATCTTGGATTGTGAACTGCTGATAGTTATGATTATCTTCCTCAAGCCATCTGCACAACTTGATAAAGGCTCTATTGTTTCCCTGGTCAGGTTACGTGAATTGGTCTTGCTTTGACTGTGTTTGATGTTCCTGGGGGATGTAAATGCACAGAAGACACTGTCTATGGTATCTGGCCTCAGCTGCTCTTATATCTCCTGCATGTACAAAATACGGGCTTTGACAGTTGATGCATCATCATCTTGTCTTTTACTACAAACATCCTAAGAGAGTTTGTTGAAGAACAGATTTTTTGTCATTATTTATGATTTCAACTTTGCTAACATCATGACGGTGAGGATGTTTTTGTAGATCGATGGAGTCAATCTTCATTCCACAGATCAAGCAACAAGTGTAAAGGGATCACAGTTTCCACTCACTTAGTGCATTCCTTTATGGTTTTTTTCTAATTTTTTATTTGCTAATTAATCCGTCTTTTTTATCAATTCTTGGAATTATTCAAACTTGAAAATCTACTATTTGGACAAGGTTTTGCAGGTGTAAACATATCTGCTGTTTATTGATTCTTTGTGACTTTATTCTATTTTTCTTAACAACTAGTCATATACACCAAAATAGAATAGGCCTAACCAAGTCTATATTCATCAATACACGCATGGTAACCATTCATTGTGTAGTGAACAAAATATTTTCATTAGTAAGCTATATTTGACATATATTTTTGAATATCATTGACTACAAATTACTCAAAGATTTAATTATCAACAGATGCTTTCATCATATGTAATGAGCCGGAGGGACAATAGAATCAGTAGGAATGCATTGGTAGCTTATACAGTGCTTCCATTTATTTTTTAAAAGGATTTCAAGGTTATATTTCAGTTTACATTTGATTGGATTTGTCCCCTAGAACATCCTAAGCCCGGGTTAGAATATTGATCTTCAGTAACACATGCTTGTCGTAAGAGGCTACTAAAAGGGTCGGGTGGTCAGACTCGCTAACTTGGTTGACACATGTCATCGGTTCCCAATTGCGCAGATCGCTGCTCATGCTGTTGACCACTGGATTGCCTGGTCCAGACTCGATTATTCACAGAGCTGGAATATAGCTGGAATATTTCCCTTTGGAAAAAAATCTTAAAACTCACAGTATTTACTTTGTATGACCTATTTCACCGCTTCAAAACGTCTCTTGTCATAACAATGTCAGCCATTTTGGCTGTTGCTATGAAGGGCGATAACTCAGATGATCTTAGTCATACAACTGATGTTATATTGAAGGAATCTGAGGTAAATTTAAAGTGGTAATAACTGTTTCTGCCCTAGGTTGATTTTGGTTGGGTCTTTTTTCTCAGCATCACATGAACCTGTGAATAATTTGGTTGTTATACTAAATGTCATGTCTACACATACATACACACATACAAACACACATACATACTTACACGCACACATATATACACACATGCACGCATATAGACAGACAGACAGACAGACAGACAGACAGAGAGACAAAACTATGATTGATAAAATATCAATCATAAAAATATCAATGTCCCTCACTTATTTTGTCCAGTACATAATAGATAATCCAGGCCGGACAAGTATGTACACTTGTTCACCAATGGAACCTTTGAGACAAGAAGAAGGGTATTACCTGCAGAACTCCAAGACAATATTCCTGCCGCGACCAAGATGGCAATTATAACGTACATTGTGTAAGCCTCTCCATGTAGGCCTCCCGTGAGCCGCTGTAACCTATTCGTCCCGCTCAGCCCAAAGACAAGGAAGTGTATTTCGGGGGCTGATCGAAACTCATTACTTCCTGACTAAATACAATCGTGTATGATATCATTCGCCCTCCTGAAAAAGAAACGCATTAGCTAACGTGCCCTGTTTTGTA